AAGAAGTCTTAAGAGATATGGCACACAAATATGACACTGAGTTTTTACCACTGTTATAAGACACTGTACATCTGTGCATCTCAGGTATTATTTGACTTACACTTCATTAATGAGTTAGTGTAAAGGAATCTGTTAGTAGTTTATGCAGTATTATGGTGAGACTGTGGAACTACCGCGGATCTCACTGCTGTCCGTAGCTGGCAAGATTATTTCCAGTCACTCTAACAGACTTCTTCCTGGGGCGGAAAACTTCTCCCTGAATCTTAATGGGTTTCAGATCACGTGACACCACTGACATGAGCTTTGCTGCCCGCCAGATACAGGAAAAGTGCAGAGAACAGCGTCGTGACCTGTATATGGCCTTCATCGACCTTTGCTGAGACCTTCGACTCGGTCAACAGGAAGCCTTCTGGGAACCTTCAGCCGTTTTGGCTGCCCCCAAAATTCATCGCCATTGTGAGGCAACTCACGATGGCATGAACTGCAGTGTCCCACAATGGCACAGTCTGAGTTCTTCCCCATCCAAACGGGGTAAAACAAGGATGTGTACTGCCAACTCTCTTCTATTTCTTGGCTGCCTTAGGTCGTGCCAGTGCCAATTTAGCCGGCGGGTGGACATCGAGTGCCGGATGAAGGGTCTTTTCAACATAAGACTACTCCAGGTAGAGCAAAGGTGTCGGCAGCTTCCATTACTGAACTTCAGTATGCAGACGACCTTACCCTTGTCGCTCACACTGAACGCGACCTACAGGATCCTGAACTCCTACGCAGAGTAAGAGTGCACACTTCGGCCTGAGGTGATGCTGTACGTAAGACTCAGATTCTTTCTCAGCCCGCCCTGGTTCAGCCACCTCCACCACCCATCAGCTTAATGATACTACCCCTAATGTTACCCACTTTCGGTATTTCGACTTCCACCTGTCCACCACTACTGGGCGGAATCGATGGAGAGATTCAACATAGGATCTGTGAGTCTCAAGCCTTGGCAGACTCCACCTGTGTCTTCAGCTGTAGGAGCTGAAATTATCTACAAAGTTGCGCGTATATCGAGCAGTGGTCCTCCCCACCCCGTTATATGGGCAGGAGACATGGGTCACACACAGGAGGCACCTCAAAGCATTTGAAACTTTCACCAACGTAGTCTACGTTCCATCCTGCGAGTTCTTCGCTGAGAAACAAGAGAACAAATGCCAGTTTTCGCGCACACCAACTGTAGGAGCATCAGAGGCTACCATTATCCATGAACAACTACGCTGGACTGGCCATGTTACCCACATGGGCGACAGTAAACTGCCAAAGCAGTACTTTACAGCCACCCAACGAATAGTAAACATAACGCTGGCGGGCAACTGAAAAGATATAGGATAGTCTTAAGACAAACCTGAAAAAGTCAAATCGACCCCTTCACCTGGAAGACGATCACTCTACACCGAAAGGCTTGGAGGCACCACACGAGAAGGTGTCAATACTTACGAGTTAGCCCGACTGCATATCAAGGCAGAGACAAGCGCCAACACCGGAAAGACGCTGCCGCCGCCCCTCCCACACTAGATGTAGTCTTCCACATGTGCAACATCTGTGAATGGCATTGCTGGTCCCGTCTAGGCCTCTTTGTCACCTCCTCTCCAGTGAAGGTGACATCTAATAACTCATATTGTATCATAGCTGGATGATCGTCATACTCGATTCAAGTGACAAAGTAGTAGTAGTAGTATGGTAGTAGTAAGTAGTGTAGTAGTAGTAGTAGTAGTAGTAGTAGTTGTTGTATTAGGATATTTAATATTAAGGTAAATAGGCGAAGGTGTGGCTATTGGGGAGGCTGGAGGCCACGTTATTTAAAAAAGAAAAAAGATGTAGTTGTAGTAGTAGTAGTATGTATGTATGTATGTAATAACGGTTTATTGAAAGAACTTGGCAGCCAGAATAAGCTGAAAATATACAAGTAACATAAGTGATATAAATAAGATATATAATAACTAGATGGGGAAAAGCTCAAACTACAGGGCATTTCAACATAGTGACAGTGCAAGGGTATTTACTGGGGAGTGAATACACTGGTCGTCAACAAGTTATTGATAATTTTACAATGGTTGGACTGGGCTGTTCTTATAGCGATCAGTTCGTGCACGGGGCTGGATGCGGTTGTGGTGTCTAACAGCAATTCTCGGGCTAGGGGATCTCAGGTGGTAGTAGGAGCCGGTGTCGAGGATGGGTATGTATGTATGGTATGTATGTATGTATGTATGTATGTATGTATGTGTGTGTGTGTGTGTGTGTGGATTCTATTCATCATCCCCTTGTATCTTATATTTATTTACCATTTGAGTTATTGTGACATTTTAAAGAAGTATTTTTGCTCTTAAGTTTAAAAACTTTATCAAAGGATTTCTTAAATAAAGCTTACTGTTATAGGAACCATTTTAAGCATTAATTGATGAGGTAATTACCTTGTAGTTCTCTACAAGATACCCCCTTAACGATCTTTCGAGGGTAATAAGACAAATATAAGTTAAATGCCCAAAAATGCCTACAAGACACCTGTCTAGCTCTGAGTAATATGAAGATGCCAATGAAGAAATGCCTCCAGAATATCCCCAAGAATGCCCCCAACATGCAAGAAATGCCCCAAGTGCCCTCAAGAATGCCCCAAGATTGCCCCCAACATGCCTACAGAAGAGCACCTGCCTAACTACCTAACCCACCTGATCCAGCCTTGTTGTGACTTGATTTCCACATCAACTGAAACTTTTTTGTCTCTGGTACATCTCTTACCCCTCTCCCCCCTTTCCCCCATTTTCCTTATCCCTCCCCACTTCTTTCTCCTCCCTCCTCCTTTTCTCCTCTCCTTCCTTCTTCCTTCCTTTCTCCCTTTCCTCTTTACTTTACTCTTCCACCTCCTTCTGTTTTCTCCCTTCTCTCCTTTTTTCTTCTTCTTCCTTCCTTCCTTCTTTCTCTCCCCTTCCCTTTCGTTCTCTCCATCTCCTCTTTTTCTCTCCCTACTCTTCCTTTTTCTTGTATCTTTAATTATCTTCTGCTTCTTCTACCATTTTTTTGTTATCTTCTCCTATTTCTCCTTCTCTTCGTTATCTCCAATTTCCTCCCATTCGTCATATCTTATCTAACTATATCTTCTTCATTACTTCCTCTTCGTCTCTCTTCTCTCTCTCTCTCGTTATCTTCTCCCATTATGTTTCGTTATCTCAATGTTACTTTTGGTTTCCACTTCCTATATGTCGCCACCTCATTCTTTCTCATCACCTGCCAACCTTTTTGGTCTCTTTCCTCCTCCTCCTCTTCTTCCTCCTCTTCTACCTCCTCATCCTCCTCCCTTCATCCCTACTTCGTCTCATCCACTATCCCCCTTCTACTACCTCTTCTCCATCCTATCCTCCTCCCTACTTCACCTCCTCACGCCCCCCCTTCATCCCTTCCTTTACCTCTATTCTCTCCTCCCATTCCCTCCTCCCTGTATCCCCTTGAAGGTCTCCTGAAGCCAAGATGTTGATTTAATGTCATGGGGCGGTCTGTTGGCTGGTGTTATAAGAGGGTCAGGCCAGGGTGCACAACACATACCTGACCTCGCCAACCCAGCAACATGTTGTCGGTAAGTCTTCGTCGTCGTCGCCTTCTTTTTAGTAGCAGAGGATTCAGTTATAGGCTCCGATTTTGTAGTTAGATTTAATTAACAGGTGTACATTTGCATTTAGAATGGTGTTCAGTACCTTTCATTTAGTGAGTTCAGATTACAGGCTCCGATTTTGTAGTTAGATTTAATTAACAGGTGTACATTTAGAAGGTGTTCAGTACCTTTCATTTAGTGAGTTCAGATTACGGTCCGATTTTGTAGTTAGATTTAATTAACAGGTGTACATTTAGAAGGTGTTCATACCTTTTCATTTAAGTGAGTTCAGATTACAGGATCCTGATTTTGTAGTTAGATTTTATTAACAGGTGTACATTTAGAAGGTGTTCAGTACCTTTCATTTAGTGAGTTCAGATTACAGGCTCCGATTTTGTAGTTAGATTTAATTAACAGGTGTACAGTCAAAAGATGCAGTAATTTCCATGTAGTGAAAAATCAGATTACAAACATCAGTAACGTAATAATAGACTCATATATTTTCAAGTACAAGCACACGTACAGTGAAACCTCCTTATAACGTACTTTATATATATAACCGTCAGTTGGCTTATAGGTTCTTTATGTACATTGTTACAGTATAGTACCATAATTTTGAAAGTTTCTAGTTATCTGTGGGTTTTCTAGATTAGTTCTTAGATTTAGTTATTTATCTAGAGTATTTTTTTGCCTCTTTCTAGTATCCAAATCGAAGTCATTAATAGTCTTATAAAGCAGATGCTAAGTGTATCTCCAGGTAATGGTTTACCGTAGGGTCAGAGGTCAGGTAGAATAATTAGATACACACTGGTATGGGATCATGTGTTGTTACCGTTGTCTGTGGGAGTTAAAACCTTCGTTTTTTTCTTTTTGGTCTTTTGTGAAATTTTCCCAAAGTAAAGTTTATATATATTTTGTTTCTATTGTGTAAGAGGTTCAGTCTGTCTACTTCATGTTTAATATTATAGCACACACACACACACACACACACACACACACACACACACACACACACACACACACACACACACACTATATCAGAACGAGAACGCTGATTGTACTCATTTTTTTCACCTCCACAACACACACAGTTATAAATTACACCTAGTAACTTGAAGTGTGTGTTTCTTCCTCCTGCGAAGTGTGTGCTGTGTACACTGGTCGTCGGGTGGCGTCTGGCACAGTACGGTCAAGGCCATCTACTTCTTACGGTACCTTGAGGCAGTGGAGGGGAGGTGGAGGTGGTCCAGGGTGGGGAGGTTTTAGGGGCTCGTCCGGGTCAGGATTTAGAGGCTGACGCAGGAGGTGTAGGAGGGGTGTCTGGAGGCTCAAGGTGGAGTTTCTTGTAGTGGAAGCTATAGAGGTGGAGCAAACTGGAGGTATGGGGGTGGAGCAGGAACTGGAGGCTTCGGAGGTGGAGCAGGAACTGGAGGCTTCGGAGGCGGAGCAGGAACTAGAGGCTTGGAGGTGGTGCAGGAACTGGAGGCTTGGGAGGTGGAGCAGGAACTGTAAGGAAGTGGAGGCTTCGGGGGTGGAGCAGGAAGTGGAGGCTTCGGGGGTGGAGCAGGAAGTGGAGGCTTGGGGTGGAGCAGGAAGTGGAGGCTTGGGTGGAGCAGGAAGTGGAGGCTTGGTGGAGCAGGAAGTGGAAGCTTCTGGGGAGCAGGAAGTGGAAGCTTCGGGGTGGAGGAGGAAGTGGAGGCTTCGGGGGTGCAGCAAGTGGAAGCTCTGCCAGGGGAAGCTACCAACCTTCAGGTCCTGTAGTCCCCATCCTGAGGGACGAGCGTCAGGGACCTGATGAGTTCGGCAACTACAGCTTCGAGTTCGAGACTGGTGACGGCATCAGTCGTCATGAGCAGGGCGCCCCCCAGGGGGAGACTGGCGCCGTGGCGTCTCAGGGAGGATGGTCGTGAGTAACCAATAACAACACACAATGACGTTGAGATGAAATATATTTTTTGTTGATAGTTTGAAACTTTTAGCTGTTGGTGATGAAGCTAATTATAATATTATGGGTTGCAGGTTTACGTTCCCTGATGGAACTCCAGCTGACTTCAACTTCGTAGCAGACGAGTACGGCTACCGCGTGGAGTCTGACCTGCTGCCCACGCCCCCGCCCCTCCCCGCCCACGCCATCGCCCAGATCGAGAAGGCTCGTCTGGAGGACGCCGCCGCGGCTGCTTCAGGTGGACGTGGATCATATGGAGGGTCAGCTGGCGGAGGCTTCGGAGGCTCAACTGGTGGAGGCTTTGGAGGCTCAACTGGTGGAGGCCATAGAGGTTCAACTGGTGGAGGCTTCGGAGGCTCAACTGGCGGAGGCTTCGGAGGTTCAACTGGTGGAGGCTTCGGAGGCTCAACTGGTGGAGGCTTCGGAGGCTCAACTGGTGGAGGCCATAGAGGTTCAACTGGTGGAGGCTTCGGAGGCTCAACAGGCGGAGGTTTCGGAGGTTCAACTGGTGGAGGCTTTGGAGGTTCTACTGGCGGAGGCTTCGGAGGTTCATCTGGTGGAGGCTTCGGAGGCTCAACTGGCGGAGGCTTTGGAAGTTCAACTGGTGGAGGCTTCGGAGGCTCAACTGGCGGAGGCTTCGGAGGCTCAACTGGTGGAGGCTTTGGAGGCTCTGGTGCGGCCAGCGCCCCTCGTCCTCAGACTCCGAGCAGATTCTACGGCGCCCCTTGAGTCTCTTCATCCTATAACTGTTGACATGACTCTCTAAGACGCCTACCATGAAGTCCTTCAGCACAAATCCTTTCTCACTTTATGTATCCTTCAGTTGTGTTGGTAACATCCTGCTGGGTCTTCCTCCTCCCACCACTGTCATGTCAACACAGCCTCATGTTACCCCGAGGCTCTGTTTACCTTACCGGATATATCCACCATACGCTTATTACTTGTACTCTCTTACCTATGAAAGAAATATATTATTTTAAACTGACATATTAAAATGAATTTCCGTTGATACCTTATTAACAAGCGGTAATAGGGGAAATACAAGTAGGATAAGTCTGAAAATAGAAGAATATTTCCTGTCTGTATTATCTGGATGATAGTTTGTAGGTAAAGTATCGAGCGGAATGATTCGATCTAGTGTACGTAATGTGTGGTCTATAATTACGCCATCTACACCACCAATGACACCTGTATTGAGTTAGAAGTACAGCGGTCAGTGGCGGGGACCATTTTCTTTCCTTTGTGCCCTTTCACTGTATCCTCTGGAGCTGATTAGGTATACTTGTCACTGTAGGATCAGGTTATACTTGTCACTGTAGGATCAGGTTATACTTGACACTGTAGGATCAGGTTGTACGTGTCACTGTAGGATCAGGTTATACTTGTCACTGTTAGGATCAGGTTATACTTGACACTGTAGGGATCAGGTTGTACGTGTCACTGTAGGATCAGGTTATACTTGTCACTGTAGGATCAGGTTATACTTGTCACTGTAGGATCAGTTTGTACGTGTCACTGTAGGATCAGGTTATACTTGTCACTGTAGGATCAGGTTGTACGTGTCACTGTAGGATCAGGTTATACTTGTCACTGTAGGCCAAATGGTTAATAGTAATTAAGGTATAATGTTTGGTCTTGAGGCGCAAAAGAGTTTATAACGTTACACACTGGAAATGATATAACCACGAGTAGGCAAATAGAGAATTAGAACTAAATATACATAATTGTTTTAACCCCTTGTGTATAGGGGTTGGGTGGTGGGGGTACTCTAAATAAAATTTTAAAGTAGTCTCCGTAGTGAAGGGGTAATTTGATAACAAAACACCTAAGGAAAAGAAACGTTAATGTACGTAATGTAATGATGTTAACTGAAGGAGAACATCCATTACATTCCTGCAACTCTTTTAATTATTTGTTTCTTCGCCGCGTGATAGAGAAGAGGGTTGTGGGCTGTTTACGGTGCCGTCTTCAGATGGGTGAAGAGTAACCTGGTCTGGATTTACGATAGGTTTGGTCAGCACCTTGGAGATGTAAGATGAGAATATATGGTTTGACTTTGTAATGAGAGGAGGTTGTGTTAATTACTTATTTATGTGAAGTGGATGAAGAGATGGAGATAGAAAGATAGTATGAATGACAGACATACATAGGTCATTCCGATTAAAGGATGATCTATACAGTATAGTAAGTCTAGCATATAAATAATAAATAATAATAATAATAATAAACGGTTTATTGAAAAGTTTGCAGTTCGAAGGCTGAAAATATACATTGGACATAAATGACTTATTACATACATTGGTGGTTTAACAAAAGCCTTCATTAGAGAAAGGTGAAGGAACATACAGTGAACATACAGATTAATGTTTACACGTAGATCATGTGAGCTAAGGTGTTGGCAAGACACGTAGTGTGCTCCTCACAGATGGCGTCGCCCTCATGGTGGTGCGGTAGAGAAGATAAAACATAACACCTGGGCAGCATATCAAGGTGTTCTCTCTGGTGAAACACTCAGTCATGTCAGTCTCTCCACACACCAGTCACAACTGTCTCCCCATATCACCAGTCAGGAACCAATTGACTGTCACACCAGATCTTGTGACCTCAACACTTCCATTATGAATCAAACATCTTCTTACTTATGAAATTAAACTGTTTTATTTACTACATATACCTGTCGTTGTTTGTCCTCTGTAATAGTGTAACATCCTTGTTGACGCAGTGTACGGAACCAAACAACACACACAAACTTTAACAGTGTGAAAAATACACAAGTGAACCCATTACGTCAGTCAATGGACCTGTACAGTATATCACAGACAGGTTGAGGTGAAGGAGGTGCAATTCTCTCATTTTCTGGATGGTTGAAAACCTGGAGTTTTATACTACTAGTACTAGCTCACATGACCAGGAGGTGAGGTTATGGTTATACTACTAGTACTAGTACTAGTTCACATGACCAGGAGGTGAGGTTATGGTTATACTACTAGTACTAGCTCATGACCAGGAGGTGAGGTTATGGTTATACTACTAGTACTAGTTCCATGACCAGGAGGTGAGGTTATGGTTATACTACTAGTACTAGTTCACATGACCAGGAGGTGAGGTTATGGTTATACTATAGTACTAGTTCACATGACAAGGGGATGAGGTTATGGTTATACTACTAGTACTAGCTCACATGACCAGGAGGTGAGGTTTATGGTAAGACTACTAGTACTAGTTCACACTGGAAAACAAACACCATCTCCTCAGTGGATTCGAATATGGGACCGGTAGTATCTTATACCAGTAGGATAACCACTACACCACCACACATAATGGTGAAATAGTTAAGAGTGATGACTGTGTATATAAAGAGCTACTGATGTCTACTCGTGACTGGTTATAATAAGTGTATTTCCACCATCTGGTTCCACTGTTCTCTCTCTTGTACTGCATCTCCCGACCATCACAGTGAGATAACCGGTTTGACCTGAGACACCCACTGTATACAACTATTTCTGGCTCTTATAATTATGACAGAGCTGAGAAATATTTGACCCATAAAGATAGTTATATCTCACTGTTTGAAAAGTTTGTTGTGGTAATCTTATTTATATTGTGTTGGGTGATGAATAACTCAGAGTCAGGTGTTACAGGTAGTATATTCATTAAGATTTATTCACCTTATACAAGTTTATCGATATATAACAATAGTGTCCGAGAAAAAGGAGATTTATTTCATTTATTTACTTAAGACTATTATTATTTGTGGAGTGTAAAGTGAAATTATATAAACATTAATGATTTGGAACTGATGTATAGGTTAAGTAACATAATTTGAACGATAAATTTTTCAAAACACTACTAATATTGCTGCCTCTTGTGTCTTCTATTTCGTAGTTCGCTTTAATTTTATCCACATTAAATATATTGTTCACGTGTGTGTGTGGCTCTCAATGGTATGGCCCACGACCTCCCAGAAGGTGATATATAAAAACTCTCTTCTGGCCTGACTCAAGCCTTCAACTGGATCCGTTTCTTTAGTGTTTTACCTTCAGGGTCGTGATGGTCTGGGCTGGTCGGGCGGGTATATAAGCCTCGGGTCACATGAGAAACTCCACACTCCTCTCGATTGTCTTTCAGGCCAACATGATCTCGGTAAGAGCACCACTTACAAACTTATATTCTCAGCGTTGATAAAAGAAACAAAGTACTTTAGAATAACGATAAATCTCTTTTAATGTGTTTTACTGTTTATCTTCCACAACTATATTACATTTGGCCAAAATAATTCAAGAAAAATATGCTTCTAAGAGTTATTCAAGTAATATACAGTAAAGTCAGTTTCACCTGGCAATAGAGATTCATAACGTGAAATTTTCCTTTAACCATTTATAGTAAATGTTCTTATTAACTTGAGCGTCCACGCCATCATTCTTCACGAGCCATATTTCGTTGTTTACTGATTCAACTACTGAAGTCTCTAACTCTGTAATCATTGTTCACAAAACTAAATGCGTTGAGAGAGAACTGAGGCCATGGGAGTTTGATGTTTGATAGCTGACTGAATTAAAAGACATTCGAATTCTTATTGTAAGTTTCCAAAAGGAATTGAATTTAAGAATTGTTTTAGGTTTTCTTTTAAAAAAATTAAAACTTCTCGACTCTTTATTGTACTGGTGGACGACGTGAAGGTTTTCTTGTGTTCAACAGAAGGCGGTGTTGTGTGCCTTGGTGGTGGTTTGTGGGGCCGCGAGCTCCATCTACCTCTTTATGGTACCAAGGAGAGGCAGCGGAGGTTCTTCTGTTGGAGGCTTCGGGGGTGGGGCAGGAAGTGGAGGCTTCGGGGGTGGAGCAGCAAGTGGGCTTCAGGGGTGGAGCAGCAAGTGGAGGCTTGGGGTGGGCAGGAAGTGGAGGCTTGGGGTGGAGCAGGAGGTGGAGGCTTGGGGTGGAGCAGGAAGTGGAAGCTTGGGGTGGAGCAGGAAGTGGAGGCTTCGGGGGTGGAGCAGGAGGTGGAGGCTGGGGTGGAGCAGGAAGTGGAAAGCTTCGGGGGTGGAGCGGAAGTGACTTTGGGGTGTAGCAGGAAGTGGAGGCTTGGGGTGCAGCAGGTGGAAGCTCTGCCAGGGGAAGCTACCAACCTCAGGTCCTGTAGTCCCCATCCTGAGGGACGAGCGTCAGGGACCTGATGAGTTCGGCAACTACAACTTCGGTTCGAGACTGGTGACGGCATCAGTCGTCATGAGCAGGGGCGCCCCCAGAGACTGGCGCCGTGGCGTCTCAGGGAGGATGGTCGTGAGTAACCAATAACAACACACAATGATGTAGAGATGAAATATATTTTTGTTGATAGTTTGAAACTTTAGCTGTTGGTGATGAAGCTAATTATAATATTATGGGTTGCAGGTTTACGTTCCCTGATGGAACTCCCGCTGACTTCAACTTCGTAGCAGACGAGTACGGCTACCGCGTGGAGTCTGACCTGCTGCCCACGCCCCGCCCCTCCCCGCCCACGCCATCGCCCAGATCGAGAAGGCTCGTCTGGAGGACGCCGCTGCGGCTGCTTCAAGTTGGACGTGGTCATATAGGCTCAACTGGCGGAGGCTTCGGAGGCTCGACTGGTGGAGGCTTCGGAGGCTCTGGTGGAAGTTTCGGAGGATCAACTGGTGGGCTTTGGAGGATCAACTGGTGGAGGCTTCGGAGGCTCAACTGGTGGAGGCTTTGGAGGCTCAACTGGTGGAGGCTGGAGGCTCAACTGGTGGAGGCTTCGGAGGCTCCAACTGGTGGAGGCTTCGGAGGCTCAACTGAGGTGAAGCTTCGGAGGCTCAACTGGTGGAGGCTTCGGAGGCTCAACTGGTGGAGGTTTCGGAGGATCAACTGGTGGAGGTTTCGGAGGTTCTGGTGGAGACTTTGGGGGTGCAGGAGCGGGCAGCGCCCCTCGTCCTCAGGCTCCCAGCAGGACTTAGGCTCCTTAACCATCACCAGACTGTAACGAGATAGAACTCTATAAGACTCATACCATGTTGTCCTTCATCGTGGATCCTCCTATAACTATTGATTTACAGTTGTGTTGGTCACCTCCTCTCGGCCTTCTTCCTACCAGAGCCTCGTCATTACTCACAGACTCTGGTTCTCGGGCCCTTCCTCCTACCAGACCCTCGTTATAGCAATACGCGC